TCGAGTTGGTACCAACTCATAGCAACCTTATGCACAGCAGAATGAAACACTGCCCGATCCTGGGCCAACCTCACTACAGTTGCCATGCTTAAGTCATCGATGGTGCCACTTAGCCAATCCATCTCATTGGGGGTCTTCCTCTTTTGCTCTGACCCTCCATCTTACCAAACATGATATCCTTCTTCAGTGACTGGTCCCTCCTGACAATATGTCTAACATATGAGAGATGAAGTCTGGCCATCTTGGCCTCCAAGGAGCACTCTGGCTGCACTTCTTCTAAAATGTATCTATTGGTTCTTTTGGTAGCCCATGACACTTTCAATATTCTCCTCCTACACCATTACTCAAAAGCATCAATTCTTCTCCAGTCTTACTTATTCACTGTTCATCTTTCACATGCAAATGAGGTTATTGAAAATACCATGGCTTGGGTCAGGTGCACCTTGTCCTCAAGCTGACATTTTTGCTCTTCAATACTTTAAAAGGGTCTTGTGCAGCAAATTTTGCCTGATGCAATACATTGTTTGATTTCTTGACTGCTGCTTCTGTGAGTGTTGATAGTTGATCTCAGAAGAATGAAGGCCTTGACAACTTCAATCTTTTCTTCACTTATAAGAACGTTGTTTATTGGTCCATCTTTGCCTTAGTTAGCCATTGATGAAGAGTAAATGGAAGTTATTTTATCATACCTCTTATTGTTGAAAATAATGCTTCAGGAACTGATGGAATAGTTTCAAATCATTCAACAAACTGAGGCAGCACTGGAGACACTCACTCATCTATACCAAGAAATTTGGAAGACAGCTACCTGGTCAACTGATAAGAAGAGATCCATATTTGTGCCCATTCCAAAGAGAGGTGACCCAAAGGAATGCATAAACAACCAAACAATATCATTGATAATACATGCAAGTAAAGTTTGCTGAAGATAACTTAAAAATGCTTAAAATATTACATCGATAGATAATTGCCAGAAATTCAAGCTTAATTCAGAAGAGAATGTGGAACTAAAGATATAATTGCTGACTTAAGATGGATCTTGACTCAAAGCAGAGAATACCAGAAAGATGTTTACTTCTGTTTTGTTGACTATATAACGGCTTTTAACTGTGTAGATCAGGACAAACTATAAATAGCATTGTGAAGAATGTATATTCCAGAACAGTTAAGTGTACTCATTAGGAACCTGTACATAGATACAGAGGCAATCATTCAAACAAAACAAGGGGATGATAAATGGTTTGATATCAGGAAAGGTGGGTGCCACTAAAATTCCATACATAAATGAATCAAGATAGGTATTGATTTATTTATTGAACAATGCTGTGTAAGAGATTTTAGGATACAGATGAAGACATTCAATATGGTTTGATACAATGGCTGTAATAATCAGCTTAAGCACTAAGTACTATTGTGAGGATGATTCAGAACTGGGCAACATTGTGTTCTGGCATACTTGAGGTTGCTATGAGTCAAGCCAAGCCAACAGTATCTAACAACAAGAGCAACCCTGAAGAAGCAGAAAAATTAGAAGACAATTTTATAAAACCATGAGGTAGCAGTGCTTTATGGACTTCCACTCCAGTAGACGAATCAGACAGTAAACAAGATTAAAATATTTTGTATGGTTAAAAAAATGTTAAGTGATAAGGAAAAAGATCAAGCAGAGGACAATGGACAGTGTCATTTTTGGGTTCAGTGGGGATTAAATGTAGTTTTATACAGAGTAACCAAAACGGAGTCTAGTGAAGTACTGTTTGAGGAAAGACTGGAGAAAAGCTGGAGGTGCAATGAAGAGCAATCCAAAGACTTTGCGAAAGGAGCATGCCTGGCATGTTTGTCAGAAAGTGGCTAGAGAAAATAAATGGAGGATGTGGGTGAGAAAATAGTGACAGCAGGGTCAGATTATGCAGAAATGTATCATTGCTTTTTCTCTGACTTGCATTGTTTTTTCTATACAGGACTTACATAATTTTATATTACACATTTATGTATTTAGTCTATTTTTTAGTAGAATATAAGCTTGATAAAGATAAGGACTTTGTACTGTTTACCCATAGCAGAAACTCGCTCATTTTATTGATTAAATTAATGACTGAGTGGAGGGTCTTAGTCCATCCTGCTAACAATGGCAGGATGAAAACAGAAAGGGTCTCTGAATTTTGCAGGAAGGCATTTACTGGTCTGGTAGTTTTTACAGTTCCTTGATAATAGCATGTTCTTGGGGGTGGGCTCAAGCAGCAAATGAATTGTGTTGGTGTTGGTAGTGTGCCATGGAGTCAGTTCTGAATCATAGCAACCCTGTATAGGGTTTCCAAGCCTGTAAATCTTAACAGGAGTAGAAAGTCTCATCTTTCTCCCATGGAACCGCTGGTAGTTTCAAACTGATGACCATGTGATTAGCAGCCTGACTCATAAGCACTAAGCTACCAGAGTTCCTTAGCTCAGTTTACTTAACAAGTGTATTAGATAGGTATTATATAGCTGTCTGTGTATGATTATATTTTCTCTAATTTATTTACACCTTATTTATCCTTTTAAATAGATACTTCACAAAATTAAGTCTGTGGCATTATGTTGATCCATTGCAATCCTTGGAGAACGGATAAATCCCACCCTGCTAATCGTTAACATAATTTTAATTATGGTGTCTTAAGTTCCATGTTAGGACTTTACTATAATCTTATTTACTGTGTGGGAGGTGTTATCTGTTTCAGGACTCAAGTGAAATTTTAGGAAAAAAATATCCTGAAACCATAGACAAGCCTAAATGACTATATATAATGAAATGTATTATTGCATTTGAAAGAGCTTTGTTAAATTGTACCAAAAATGTATAAATAGTGTCACTGAAAGGACAACTGCATCTTGTATCAGCATAAAAAATTTCAGACTTTCAAAGCTACAACTACCTTGTCATAGAATACAGAAGCCTGTGAAATCAGATATTTACACAATGTTATTGGAAAGGAAATATCTGTAGGCTGCAAGTTGTTTATTCAGAGTATTTAAAACGTTTCAATTTAAAGGACAGAAATAAGAGAAAAATTTATGTATCTAGTAACAGAGATTGTAAAGCTTTGAAAAAGTAGCTTTTGGGTATTGGAAGGAAGCATACATGATCCTAGTGGAAACAGCCCCAACAAGGTGAAGTTCAAAGAGAAATAAAGAATAAAATGCAAAAATAATTCATTTCATGAGGCTGTATTGATAACAAAAACCACAGAAGTTCCCTACTGAGAGTGCTGTCATTTTTGTTAGTCTTGGATACTTCCATCTTGTCTGATTTTCGTCATTAGAAGCTATTATCAAAGAAAATTAATACATGCTGTGAAGGATCATCACGGTTTATAAAAAAGTGGTTAAAGCTGATGATATGAAATCATTACTCTTTTGAATGGTGATGGTACAAATGATAAATTGCTTGACTTCTGTGTTAGAGGTTTAAGTCCACCCAGAGGAGCAGAGGAGCCTTAGGAGAAAGACCTGGTAATCGACTTCCAAAAATTCAGCCATTGCCAATTTCAGGGAGCACAGTACTACTTTGAGGTACATGGGCTTTCTCTGAGCCAGAATCAGCTCAGCAACAACGGGTTCTCTTTTGCTTCTCATAACCATATCTTGTGGTTGCTGTTAATTATAATTGGAAATAGTCTATGCTATTGATCAAAGTAATATTTAGTATTAAGGAGAAGACAATAAGAAAACTAACATGTGGGTTTTCCTTATATATCAGCACAGCAAAAGAAAACTTTAAATTTTATGTTATATCAAAAATAAATAAGGCATTTATTTTCATCATTTTCAAGAATTTGGAGAAAAAAATTTTTTAATATGCGTTTTGATGTTTCCTAGAACATTAACTTATTTACAGTATATGTAAAAAATATTTTGATGGGCAAAGGCATCGTGGAATAAGTTTTATTTATTTTTCCTACTCACAAGGCTTTTATTTCAATGAAGAGTGGTAGTGACGGACAGCTAATTGGTTATGTTGTTACTAGGCTACATGTGCATCCATTTAAGCTGTTTCCAAACAGAGCTCTGTTTCCAGAATGCAGCTTTGTTTCCTGGAGGGCAGAAAAAGGATGATTAGCATTCTCTCCATGGCAGGTTAGATGGGCTATGAAAGGTGAAGGATACAAACACAGTGGGCAAGCTTTAGAAAACAGATAGCTCCAAACCTCCTCTCCTTCCCTCAGGTGAGGGACATATCTTGGGCATATTATAGGGCCTTCAGTTCAAGGACTAGACAGGCCTTACCCATCCCTCCATGTTCTTTGTATCTTGCTGCTTGTCTTATCTCCTCTCAGATTTATAAAATGCATAAAAGGTATACTCTGGATCTGGTTTCCCAGAGTTTACACACACAGTCAGATTGGATATGGAGAAGTCCATTCCTAAAATATGTTTGTTTTGTGTAAGCCTAGTTAGCTGGCTATTACAGGATTCTCCAAACACTGGGAGACATGGTTTCTGAATGGCACACTTTACCTCCCCACTCCTTCATCTGAAATTACACACACACCTCCACACTACCACAAGCTACCAAATCTACTGGCTCCAGCACTGGATGCAGTAAGGCTCTGCAGCCTCTTTTCATCAGCCTTCCTAGAATTCTGTCATAAGAAATGCCTGTCCTCCATCTACATATTACCCATCATGCTTTGGTATTTGAGACCCCAGTCCACCACAGGTTTAATTGCATTGATATTGAGCTCACACTGTGTCTATTGTGTAGCAACCAGGGGTGTGATAAGCTTTCTCAAAACAGCTGGAACTCGATGGTTTCTCCTGGTGAAGCAAATATTTGACTCAGTTATTAGAGTGCAAATATTGATGTAAATATAAAGATCTTTAAATATAAAGAGTTTTAAAAAACTATAGAAGTTACTAAGACAATTACAATGATAATCATTCTTGAACTGCATGCCAAATATCATTTTCTACAATTCTCTACCTTGCTTACACGTACGCAACCGTTACTACTGGCAACATTATGTCCTTTCTTGTCTGACGTGGGCACTGATGTTCAAGGTCTATTTTTTTATCTTATGTTTTGTACATATTTAAATAAAAATCTTGTTTTTCAGGTTTTAGATAAAAGAGACACTGCTGTTTTATTGAAACAAGAGGAAAAGGAAGTTCCTCTTATAAATGAAGGTAAAAAACAGAACTCAGTTTATTTTTATTAGTTGTAATGTTTGAGAGGTCTTCAATATGGCTTATGTGGAAGTCTGAGATATAGATCAGGAGTTTGTCAATAATATGGATTTTTAAAAATTAAATTTGTTATTACAGAAGTGGAAAAAAAGGAATGGGGCAGAGAGAGATCACACTGCCAATCTCATGTGTTCTGAAGGGGCAGAAAAATGCTTCTTCCTGAAAATAGTGCCACTTCTGCCTGAAATTCCTAGTAGATTAGTTATACCACCCTTAGCACTGAGTTCTGTTTAGAATTTTGTTAAGGACTAATATCAGATTGATCTTTTTCAGAATCCACTTTGAAAAGTATAATAACATCCCCCTATTTTCAACCTTTTGATCCCTTTCCAACTTTTCATGATTTCTCTGAAATCAGTAAGGTTAATTCAACAAGTTCTTTTTTAGTTCCTTCATGTCCATGAGATGTAATTTGTCTAAGGTGAGCAACTTGAACTTATTTAAAAAATTAAATTCGGCATCTAATAATACTCAATCCTAGTCTAATTTCCCTGCCTAGAAAAACCAAATAAAAAACTGAACTCAGAAAATTTAATTTTTTTAGCGCTCATTAATTTTATCATTGTATTTATTTCATTGCATATTTTGTTAGTATTCACTTTTTAAATTTTAATTTTATTCCATCTATTAGTCCCAAGCAACAAGTTATTTTCTTGGTCATATTCTTGAAATGTTTTAGTCTTATTTATTTTCACTAACAAGTCTCAGCTCTGTTTGGCATCATCATTTCCAATCCTTTTCTTAGGGGTCAATGTGCCATTATATGTTCACTCCTGGTTGCATGCTCTCCCTTGTTCAGACTTTGTTGCTTAGGTAACGAAATAAGCTATTCATTCACAACTTCTACTGAGCCCATTAGTGAGGTCCCAAGAAATCACACTTTTCCTTTTTCATCTTAATTAAAATCATTTACAACTCCACAATCAGGTTTGCTTTTGTAAGGATTTCTTAATTTTAAAATCAGTCCTTTATAGAAGTTTCAAACTATTGCTGTGCCTTCAAGTATGGTCCTGTTGGATTTTTAAATTATAATGAAAAAATGGTTAATACAATTTTGATTCTAAAATTAATTTTAAATTCTCATCCTGGGTTTGACAGGAACAAATTGTGAAATATTTTCAAATGACTGTAATTACAGATTAGTTGACTGTTGAGTTAAAGCATTTATTCTGTATGCATGTCAATAAGTAAATGAATGGTGCCTGCAGTGTGCTTGGAGGGACACTTTCTGTCAATTCTTTTTTGTGTTTTCCTGAGGTAGTCAGGCAGTTCCTTAGCTATTTACCCACCATCTCAAATGTTCCTCATGGCATTATCTTGTTCCATACGGCATTCAATGGACTTAAAGTTGGTGGTAAAATATATTTGATGTAACTACATATTACAAATAATTCTAGATTGATGGAAGAAAGATCTCAATATTGCTTATATTGTATTGCATTCCCAAGACATTCAATGATGAGCAGAGGATTTCTGCTTCCTGGTGTGACTTTAAACACATCACTGACTTTTTTAAGTCCACAATTCTGAGCTTCACTGAGTGAAAGGAGTTGACTTTAGATTTCTTTTTGCTTTAAAGTTCAACTATCAATTGAAGACATATTTTTCATTGATGGTATGTCAGAAGGTTTGAACTGTCAATCTTGCAGTTAGCAGGCCAGTGTGTATCCCAGAGTGCCATGAGAGCTCCTCAGGAGTAGGTAATAAATGTTCACTTAAAATTTTCAATTAGAAAGACTGTTAGATTATTCTTTACATGATATACATTTTCCAAAAAAAAAAAAAAAAGATTATAAATTTTCTTAAGAATAAATTGGTGCAGCTTTCCAAATGGATGCTTGATTGAATACAGAGCCATATTAATACACATAGTTAATGAACTGCTAGCACCTCTTTTGATTCAGTTTATTTCTATCACCAAGGCATTATTGTCTTCTTTTTGTTTATGTTTTTTAGATGAAAACCCAGAGCTGTGCAGCATTGCTCCAAAAATAAAGAGAAACTCTTTGTTACCCAACTTGAAAAGGTTAGTGTACTGCAATTATATAAATTCCAAGTGAGTGCAGTTATACTGTTGAGAAATAATTATCAATGTTTAAATACAAGAAAAAGAAAGAGAATAGGAACAAACAAATATAATTAAGAATGGAACCAAATTCTCCAAAGGAGACAGACAAGAACAGAATATACTAGATTTCTTACTTTTTTCTCCAAATGTTTTAATTTCCTTTTGTAAGGAGTTTGGGATAATGAAATGGAGTAGGTTTAACTTCCTACTCAAAGCATGTAAGTCATTTAAATTACTGTATTGTAGCCAATGTACTTAAAATGTCACAGTTTTAACGTACGACTATAAAATCATAAACTGACTTTTCTCTTTGATTCATTATCTCATTGTCATACATATATGTAATTATAATAATTGTTGAATGGTAGCATTTTCCTGTCGTGAGACTTTTAGTATATTTAAAATCATTTGAATATTTAGTTAATAAAAAGAAGCAAACTCTTATCTCCATTACATTACAAACCTACCTGCTCTTTGCACAGAACACCGATTGAGGAGAGGGGAGAAAAGAGAGAGAAATAGAGCGAGAGCGAGAGAGAGAGAAAGAGAAAGAAGAGCTTTTTTTTTCCTTCAGTCAAAATATTCACTCAAATATTCAAACCTGACCACTTCACTCTTTCATTACTTTTAAGTTAAGTTACAGCTACCTCAGCATGGTAAAACCCCTTCATGATCTGCTGCCTGCCTCACTCATTACTTTACAGAATGTCTAAATGATGCTCTACTTTCCAGAGTCTTTAAATTACTTCTAATCCTGTTTTATAACATACTTTCATTTCTTTGACCACTCTGCTTCCATTGCTTGAATATCCTCTTTATTTTGACACCACTCAAATGCTGTTTAATTCTCTGTCAGCTCAAGTGTTCTTTACTTTAGAGTCCTGATTTTTCTGGGTTTCTTGATCCCAGGAAAACTCAGGTATTCACAGAACTACTGTTGAAATGATCATATTGCATTGCAATTTGTTCAACTTTAGTAATTGTTTTTTAAATACCACTGTTTGGGGTCCATGTGATACAATGGTGGTCAAGTGGCATTATCTGTTTGAACGGTTGTCTTCCTACTGCATAATAGCTCAGTAAGGAAAGCGACCTGATCTTGTCTTCTTCTTATATATAGTCTCAGAGAGGTCTACCCTAACTACTCCATCTAAAGTAGCCCATGTAATTTCTAAGCAAGTCACATTATATAAATATCCTTTTATGTTTTTTAGAGCACTTACTACCACCTAAAAGTATCATTCATTCATTTATTAACTTTGCTATTTTACATTCTAACTTGATTATTTTTTGTATTGCTTTCTCTAGAATGTAACCCCATGACAGCAGGAACTGTGTTTTGTTAAGCCCTGTGCCCCTAATGTTCAAAATGACACCTGATTTATTGTTGACGCTTAATATTTGTTGGTTGAATGAATTATGTGCTCTCTATCCCCCATCCTCACCCTCTCAGATCTGTAGCTAGGCCTTCCTATGGGTAATGGTTTCACCTAGAGTTATTTATTATACCTGATTTAAATTTTAAAGTTCATCCAAAATTCATTTAAAACATTTGTATGTGTGAATTATTTCATCCATTATTTTTAGGTCTTTAGGAGGTTGTATTTTTATTTTCTTAATCACTGCTAAAGCATAAATATGAAGGAACCTCAAAAAAGTTTGTGTAATTGAAAGATAATGTAATTTTTCCTTGAACTTTTATTTATTTGTTTTTAAGTTTTTACTGTGAATCGAGTGAAAGTTTACAGGGTAGGTCATCAGTTTTAAATTCAACAAATCATACACCATGTTACATTACAATGATTATAAATCCTCTCCATGTACCATCAGTTAACAGTGTTTCTCTCTATTAATTTTAGCTCTTAAAACACACACACACACACAAACACAAATAAAACACTGAGGCATATATAATAATTTTAACCACCAAAAGGCACATTCGGCAAGCCTGCCTGCTGGCCGCCACCTTTCAGTCTCTCTCTTTCCATAAATCTAGAGTCCTCAGCTGCCCCCTCTCTCCATGTCCTCATCTCTGCCTCCATCTGTGTTGTCACTGCTTCTCTGTATAGGGTCCCCCATTCCACTTGTGCTCTTCTCCCTTCATGGTCTTAGGATCTTCTGTTTCTGGATTGTAAGAGTAACTACTCCCCTTTTTTTTATTATGGAACTTCTACCTTTACAATTGTGACAGTCGCAATTAGTCATGATAACAACTACTCACTCACTATTGAATTATAAGACTCTTATCCCCATCTCTTTTCACCAGACACATCTAGACAAGATGAAAATTATTCAGTGGGGACTCTATCTTCCCTCTCACACTCTTAAACTAAACTCCCCTTGAAACCTTGTAAGCCAGGCACTTCGTGCCTTTATTGCCCCCTCATTTAGGTAGCCAATGTCTAAGTTGCCTGTCCCTATCTACTGTCCCTGATAGTAATAAAAATCATCTACAGTGATAACTGTAGATAGGAGGGATAACTGTAGATAGGTTTGATACTTGATATGAAGACTCCTTTCTTCTCTGTTGGTATTTAGAGTTACTACCTCCATGAGTATAGGCCAAGTTCATCAAATTGTAGCAATTAACTCTCGTTTCCTTTCTCAAAAAATTTTTTTCATCTTCCTCTAGTCCAGTTCTGATTATCAAGTCATCGAGGCTAGGCCAAATGGGTACTATCTGCAAGTTTGGGTGTTCTTGTGCATCTTTCCTCACTTCATATCAGCTGGATGCTTCACTCTCAGTTTCAGCTCTCTGTTGGCTATGTCTTTGTCCACGGGCTCAGATGTCCCTAGGTCTCACCGCACTTTGGACCAACCCATCCTTACCCTTCTCTCTCTCATCTCCAGGTCAATGGGAGTCTATGGAATGTGGTTGAACTCAGCCTATTTCTTCATTGCTTCCTTTCCCCTTCTTCCACTCACCAGTAGACCAATGTGGTTGCCAGCAAGCTTACATGCCTACTCATGTGTTTCCTTTGAGTTTCCGTCTTGGAGGGGTCCTTGAACTTTTTTTTACATTGCAACATTAAATGTTAGTACAATTTAACTGAAACCATCTTACTGGAAGGACTTTGCCAAATTTAGTACTAATGGAAGTTCTGATAAAAATGATAGTAATAAAAATCATCTACAGTGATAATTGTTGTGTTCTTTCACCACACTTATTCAGTCTGTATGCTGAGCACATAATCAGAGAAGCTGGAATAAATGAAGAAAAACATGGCATTAGAATTGGAGGAAGACTCATTAACATCCTATGATATGCTGATGATACAACCTAGCTTGCTGAAAGTAAAGAAGACTTATAATACTTACTGATGAAGACCAAAGACCATAGCCTTTGGTGTGGGTTGCACCTCAATGTAAAGAAGACAAAAATCCTCACCACTGGACCAATAAACAACATACATATAAATGGAGAAATGATTGAAGCTGTCAAAGACTTCATTTTGCTCAAAGCAACCATCAACACTCATGGAAGCAGCAGTCAAGAAAATAAATGATATATTGCATTGCATTTTGGAAATCTGCTTCACAAGACCTCTTTAAAGTGTTCAAGAGCACAGTTCTATTCTGACACACACAGGTTCACCATGAGTTGGTGTCCACTTGATAATTAAAAAAATTATTACAGATGGTTTTCTAGTAGTGTGCATTGAGCTAAATTCTCTGTGTCGTTCCACCCTTGGCACAGATCTATGATACAGGAACTATTATTATTTGACAAAAGAAACAGTTTCAGAGAAGAATCTCCTATGGTTTGGTGTATTGTGTTTTACCCCCACCTCCAATTCTAGCATAAATTTCCAGGATTCCTAAAATGGTAAAACGATTTAAAAAAGTAATTCTTTAATAAAATTTCAGCACAAAGGAGGGTATAATTAATGAGCATTCAGACATTGTGCAAGCATTCTTTAACAGACAATTAAGCATTAGTTTACATAATGCTTTTAATCGTTAAAAACTCTCAGCTGAAGTTAGACAGTATAATTAATGCCAAAGGACTTTTGACAGTAGAAGCACATTTCATCTGATATAAACTATTATCCAATTTTAAAAAGGCCTGTGTTGTATAAACATACAAAACTCTCTAGAGCTGTGATTTAAATTTAAGAACATCAGCATGAAAGGACTTAAAATTTTTCTTATTACTTGACAAATACACCCCTGTATAATCTGCCCTTTCCCTATCTACCCAGATTCATCTCCCATATTGTCTCTAACCCCTTGTTTGTTTGTTTTTTGTTTCCACTATCTTGAAGGCTTTGTGTATTCTTAACCTATAACATTATTTTATGCATTCCCACTGTGGTTAATTTTCCATGTTGCAGCCAGTTTTTTTTTTTTTTTTTTTGGCTTTGTGTATTCTTAACCTATAACATTATTTTATGCATTCCCACTGTGGTTAATTTTCCATGTTGCAGCCAGTTTTTTTTTTTTTTTTTTAATGACAGAAGTATTATTTAATCATTGCATTATACCTCATGTGGATTTAAAGGAGGCATTTGCTCAAAAGATGGGACAGTATTTCTAGGGTTCACTGCCTTTTAGAAGCAAGACTAGTTAGTGATTTAAAATATAATTTATCTTATTTTGTTGTTGTTGAGAATATACACAGCAAAACATGCACCAATGCAACAGTTTCTACACGCACATTTCAGTGACACTGATTATATACTTTTGAGTTGAGTAACCATTCTCACCACCATTTGTCTGCCAGTTGGTCTTACTGTGGTGGCTTGTGAGTTGCTGTGACTCTGAAAGCTATGCCACCGGTATTTTAGATACCAGCAGGGTCACCCATGGTGGACAGGTTTCAGATGAGCTTCCAGACGAAGACAGGCTAGGAAGAAGGAGAGGCAAACATTCCAAATATTAAGTCATTAAAAACCTTAAGAATAGCAGAGAAACACTGTCAGATAGAGTGCCAGAAAAATGAGTCCCTCAGGTTGGAAGGCACTCAAAATGCAACTAGGGAAGAGTTGCCTCCTCAAAGTGGAGTTGACCAGGATGACATGAATGGAGTAAATCCCATGGGAGTAATGCCTTCGGAACCTTCATTTGTTGATGGGGTACAACTCAAAATGAAGAGGAACACCTGTAAACATCCATTAATAATTGGAACATGGCATGTACGAAGTAAGAATTTAGGAAATTTTTAAATTGTCAAAAATGAAAAGGAATGCATTAACATCAATATCTTTGGCATTAGTGAGCTGAAATGGACTGGTATTGGCCATTTTGAATCTGACAACCACAAGGTTTACTATGTTAGTAATGACAAATTGAAGAAGAATGGTGTTACATTCATTATTAAAAAGAACGTAGATCAGTCATGAGGTACAACGTTGTCTGTGATAGGATAATATCCATGCGCCTACAGCGAAGACCAAGGAGCTCTGGTAGTGTAGTGGTCACGATGCAGGTTGCAAACCTTAAGGTCAGAAGTTCGGAACTACCAGCTGCTCTGTGAGAGAAAAATGAGACTTTCTGCTCCCGTAACCACTACACTCCCGTAAAGATTTGCAGTCTCAGAAACCCTGTACAAGGTTTCTATGGGTCGGAACTGACTTGACGACACTTAACAACAACAACAACAACAGGGAAGACCAATTAATACCACTATTATTCAAATGTACGCACCAACCACTAAAGCTAGTGAGGATGAAATAGAAGAATTCTACAAACTTCTTAAATCTGAAATTGATCAAACATGCAATCAAGATGTAGTGATCGTTACTGGTGATTGGAATGCAAAGGTTGGGAGCAAAGAGGAAGGATCGGTAGTAGGAAAATATGGCCTTGGTGATAGAAATGATGCTGGAGATTGCATGATAGAATTCTGTAAAACCAATGATTTGTTCAGTTCAAATACCTTCTTTAGACAGGATAGGAGATGATTATACACATGGACCTCACCAGATGGAATACACAGAAATCAAATTGACTACATCTATGGAACGAGATGGTGGAAAAGCTCTTTATCATCAGCCAAAAGAAGGCCGGGGAAGATTGTGGAACAGACTATCAATTGCTCATATGCAAATTCAGACTGAAGCTGAAGAAAATGAAAACAGTCCATGAGAGCCAAAATATTACTTTGAATATATCTCACCTGAATGTAGAGATCCTCTGAAGAACAGATTTGACACATTAAACACTAGAGACCAAAGACCAGAAGAGTTGTGGGATGAAATCAAGGACATCATACAGGAAGAAGGCAAAAAGTCTTTAAGACAAGAAAGAAGGAAAAGATCAGAATAGATGTCAGAAGAGAGACTGAAACTTGCTCTCCAGTGTGATGATACTAAAGCAAATAGAAGAAATGAGAAGGTACAAGAGCTGAAGAGAAAATTTCAAAGGTCAACTCGAGAAGACAAAGTCAAATATTACAATACAATGTGCAAAGATCTGGAGTCAGAAAACCAAAAGGGAAGAGCACATTTCTCAGCATTTCTCAAGCTGGGGAACTGAAGAAAAAATTCAAGACTGGACTTTCTTTATTGAAGGATTCTCAGGGCAAATTATTGAATGATGCAGATAGCATTGAAAGAAGATAGAAGGAATACACAGAGTCATTTTACCAAAAGGAAATGGTTGATGTTCAACTGTTTCAAAAGGTAGCATATAATCAAGAGCCAATGATCTTGAAGAGAGAAGTTCAATATGCCTTGAAGGAATTGGCAAAGAACAAGGCATCAGGAATTGATGGAATAAAAACTTGAAATCTGTCAAGAAAGTGAGGAGGCACTGGAGGCACTCATTCATCTATGCCAAGAAATTTGAAAGACAACTATCTGGCCAAACTGATTGGAAGAGATCTGTATTTGTGCCCATTCCAAAGAGAGGTGACCCAGTGGAATGCAAAAATCATCGAACAATATATTTGATATCCCATGCGAGTAAAGTTTTACAAAAGGTAATACAGAAATGGCTGCAAGCATACATTGTCAGAGTACTTCCAGAGGTTCAAGCTGGATTCAGAACAGGACATGGAATGAGGGCTATCACTGTTGATATATGATGGATCTTGGCTGAAAGCAGAGAATACCAGAAAGATATTTACCTGCGCTTTACTGACTATGCAAAGGCTTTTGATTGTGTGGATCATGACAAGCTATGGACAACATTGTGAAGTATGAGTATTCCGGAACACTTCATTGTGCTCATGAAGAATCTGTACATGGACCAAGAGGCACTTGTTTGAACAGAACATGGGAGCACTGAATGGTTTAAAATTAAGAAAGTTGTACAGCAGTTTGTATTCTTTCACCATATTTATTCAACCTGTATACTGAGCAAATAATCAGAGACACTGGGTTATATGAAGAAAAATGTGGCGTCAAGATTGGAGGAAGACTCATTAACAACCTGCAATATGTAAATGATACAACCTTGCTTGCTGAAAGTGAAGAGGACTTAAAATAATTACTGATGAAGATCAAAGACCACAACCTGCAGTATGGATTGCATGTCAATGTAAAGAAAACAGAAATCCTCACTACTGGATCAATAAACAACATTCCTATATGTGGAGAAAAGATTGAAATTGTCATGGAGTTCATTCTTCTTGGATCAACAATTGACACTCATGGAAGAAGCAGTCAAGAAATCAAATGACATGTTGCATTAGGCAAATCTCTGCACAAAACCTTTTTAAAGTGTTGAAGATTCAGCAAAGATGTCAGCTTGAAGACTAAGGTGCGCCTGACCCAAGCCATGGTATTTTCAATAACCTCATGCGCATGTGAAAGCTGGGCAGTGAATAAGGAAGACCATAGAAGAATTGATGCATTTGAGTTATGGTGTTAGAGGAGAATATTGAAATTGCCATGGGCTGCCAAAGGAACCAACAGGTCTGTGTTGGAAGAAGTGCAGCCAGAATGCCTCTTGGAGACCAGGAGTCAAACTTTGTCTATCATACTTCAGACATATTTTCAGGTAAGACCAGTCACTGGAGAAGGATATCATGTTTGGTAAGGTGGATGGTCATATAAAAAGAGGAAGACCCCCAGCGAGATGGATTGGCAAAGTGGCAATATCGATGGTTTCAAGTGTGGCAACAATTTTGAGGTTGGCCCAGGACTGGGCAGTCTTTAGTTCTGTTGTGCATAGGGTTGCTTTAAGTCAGTACCAACTAGATGGCACCTAACAATAACTACAGCCATTCTCAACCTCCTATTATGAGTTGTTCCTTACCCATGAAAAGTTTTTATCTAATCTTTTGAATTTCTGTTTTCAATTTGATCCCATTTGATAGATGCCAGCTATCCTTTTAAAGTATGTTTCAGATCACCACATCCTCATTCATGAAGCCCTCCAACAGTGGAACATGGTCTTAGAGTAAGCTTCTTTTCTCACCCCATGACCACAAGGCTCTGTGACCTTCTCTCTCTATGTCAACTCCTCTCTCATGCCACCTCCTTTTTTAAACAACCTTAGCTTTTCTGCACCCCACAATCATTATTCTTCACTTAGATCTTTACTCTAAATTCACTCTGTTCTTCATTTGTTTCTTTCTGAACATACTTTCTTCCAGGTTAAAATAAAACTTTTGTTTTAAAACTTATTTAAAAGTTGAAAATATTTACTGTTGTTCCCCCAAAAAAGGTCAATTCTGTTTAATTTAGGCTACCCCAAAAATCTTGAAACAAGATTTGTCAGGGATACATAACAACTCTTCTAATTGAGAATTGATTTTTGTAGGACTACACAAATGATCATTTTTAGTATTAGATTTTATTTTTGTTTGTTATTTGTATTATTCTGAATTTATTAGTATCTAATGTGATTCCTATTTTGGGATTTTAAGTCTTTGCTTGTGTTTTTCCCAGTGCAACATTGGAAGATTTAAATGCAAGTTCTGGACACAAAGCCAGGTTTTCTGAAATTGGAGGTGGCAAAGTTGATTCTTCTCTGAAAAAGTCTTTTCAAAGTATATTCGCCAAGGAAAAAGTGCAAAAACTGATGTTTAATTTAAGGTAAAGATATTTATTAACATTTTTCCACATGCTTTATAGGCAGTAACTGCTTAAGATTTTTTCCCCTATTGAGTGTTTATATTAATATGAAAATTCAATAGTATGACTTTTTGTCTTGTATCCTAACTATACTGATTTAGATATTATCATGGGTTCAGTGTTTCTTGAAATAGAACTACAGTTGTTAACAGCCTACTGTTAGAAGGCGCAATACAGTGGGTATTAGCCCTCTCCTTAATGAGTAAAGAATTCTTACTTGATACTTGTTTCTCTCTCTCTCTTTTTTTTTTTTTTTTTTTTGTGTGTGTGTGCCTTAGAAACTCTCATGACATTTGTATGGCTTTTTTCAGTTTTAGCTACTGAACTTATTGAAAGAAACTTGAGTTTTAATGTTTGTTCAGTGTAGAAGAACACTAAGCTTAGTGAACGTGGTTATTTTGGAATTTAGATGTCTCTGGCCCAGCTCTGAGATGATGGAAACAAGGAATCAAAATCTAGGATTTGGGGTCTTTCCAATTAGTAACATTGAAAATAGAGGGCTTTGGGAATCAAGCCTATGAAATCAACTTACAGAGGCACTCTCTTAAATAGGTATCATGTCAGGGATGGAACTGAAGCACTGCTAAATTAGGGCAGCAAGTTTGTCTTGCTGGGATTTGGAGACTATGAGGAGTCTATATGACATGGGATTTAGTACCAAAGAGAACATATAGCATGGTTTAACTGGAAAAGTATTTTCCTTTAGGACAGTGTTTAACAAAATATTCTCTTTTTTTTAAAATTAAATGTTTTTATTTTG